TGGTCGTGAAGGACTTCAACCTGCTGCGCTGGCTGGGGGCGAACTCTTTCCGCACCAGCCACTACCCCTATGCCGAAGAGATCATGGACCTGTGCGATGCCTACGGCATCGTGGTGATCGATGAGTGCCCGGGAGTGGGGATTAAAATGCCGTAAGCGATTGCTCACAGGACCCTTCCCCTTCTTTCTGTGTTCATCCCTGCCGCAGCGTCCCCCAGCGCCCGTTGTCCTGATAATGGAAGTACTTTGCTCTATTTAGAAATCAGCCCGTTGTGCCATGTGTGCCTAGTGAGGTTGGGCAACTGGAGGGCGTTTTGCCATATGGCTATTGCGTCATTTGGTCTGGCTTGATTAATGAGCCCAAACCACAGCCCTGAACTGCGCAGCAGGCTTTGGGGAAATAGGGCAGAAGCCATATTCAGCGTCAAGGCTTAGCTGTGCTTATACACCCCAGAGGCTTGATTTTTCACAGGGAAGGTTAAAGGGGATAGATTTTATACTGTCACCTCACCAGGTCTTGCTTCCTTTTGTCTTTAAGCGAGAGCTTTGGGAACAAGTCCTTGCAGCATCATCTTGTTGTGATGGAGGAGCTGATCCGCAGGGATAAGAACAGGCCATCAGTCGTGATGTGGTCAGTAGCCAACGAGCCGGCATCGGAGCTGCCCCCAGCAGCTTACTACTTTAAGTAAGTGCGTCTGCTTGTACACAGAGCTGAGGCTTGAATCTTGGCAGATGATGCATTTTCTTCCTTTGGGATGGCACAGAAAAGCAGTAAAGAGAGGGCAAGCACTTTTTTGGGAACCCTGAAACAGTACCCGCAGATGCAAACTAAAAGCGTAACTGCTGTGTGTGTTGAACTGATGCTCAGAACCACACAACAGTCTCAAACTGTTGTTTCTGAACCAGTAAGACTCTGCAAAATTACCAGGAGTCCATTTGGTCCGAGCATCTCGTCTTGACCTAAGGGTCAAGCAAAAGCAGACCTGATGGGAACAGGATATTCCTTGTTACCAATGGAAGACAAGTGCTAAATTATTTGAGAATTACAGCAAAGCTGGAAAATAATTGCCCTTTAATTCTGAAGACAAGGTTCTTCAGTTAGTGCTGGTTATTTGTTCTGCGGGGGATTGTGACACCCCACTTCAAAGCCACTGCTTTGAGTCCTTACAGACCCCTTGGTTTTATTTTTAAAGAGATTAAAGCTTTGGATAGCCAGGAGTCATCTCTGTAATGGGGTAGCAGACTGTCCCTAGTAGCTGTAGGTGCATTAAGAGGTAACTGTGAATTATTCCTTTTTCTTCCTGCAGCGTCAAGGCTGCAGCAGAGCTTGACACTTCCATTCTCTGTCTCATCTCCCTCATTCAGGGTTTCCACAAAAGCTGACAGCCTTTGACTGCTCTGCCTGCTGTGGTGTAGGGTTAGGGTCTCATGTTTTTGCAGGAACACATCCCAAGAGTTGTTCAGAAACGTCTCACATTTTCATGACCAAACTCACTGTCCCTTCACCAACTTGCAAGCTGCTGGCACCAACATACAAATTAACATGCCTGCATTTGGTATACCTCCACTCTTTTGTCAGGTGGGATAGCAAACAGCTTTGTGACAGATAAAGGTCTCTTTGCCATGATATTTATACTCCTGCAGAACTGGCTCAAATTGCAGGCACTTTACAGCAGATGATCACCAAGTATCCTGCAGTATTTAATTAAAAATACTGTCTGCTAAATCAAAAGCCACTCCAAATGTCTGGGGGGGGTGTGTGTGAAAGGACAGAGAGCCTGGGGAAATGGGGCTGTGCTTCTCCATACTGTTGTTGAACTCCTGCTTTACTGTTTGCAAACAGGACCGTGATAGCTCACACTAAAGCTCTGGATCCCTCCAGACCAGTAACCTTTGTGACAGATGCTGATTACGCTCGTGATTGTGGTGTAAGTTTACTTAATTTTCTAGGGTTTTTTTTGTTTGTTTTTTAATTCATACATTAAATTTCCTCTTGTCATGTCTTCTACAGTCCTTTCCCTCCACCTCCCCAAGTTTACTGGAGATACTTAACAGGGAGATGCAGAAGAAAACTTACATTTTTCTTTCTAGTACAAAGCACTTTATCCTGCAGTTGTAGTCCAGCTGAAAAAAAAAAAAAACGCATCTGTGAGAGAGCAGTTCTTTGTCTAGAGTGAAGTATGCAGGATCAGACCCCTGGATTCCATTAACATTGTCATGCTTTGTTATTCCGTTGGTTGTGTTTACTAATGCTCAGGATTTTCACTTGCAATTGAACCAAAGCTTAAACCTCTTTAAAACGCTAACAGCCCTCGTGGAAGTCTAAAGGAAGGAAGCTTTGCTTTAATTCCTGCTTTAAACTGCTCTAGATCTTCTTTGGCAGTTGTCTGTTAAGGTTGAATAATCTAAAAGCTCTTCCAGCTTCATAATTAAAGTCAGTCCTAGAGCTGTATAAATAGCCAAAAGGCACTTTTCTTGGATGTCTGTGCCTTAAGCTGGCCATAGCATGAACCAAGGATCTTTAACACTCATAAATTTATTTCCAGGGTAGTTTCTATGTAATTTTTAATTTTCCAGGATAGCTTTATAATACTTGTCACTACTGTACAATAAACACTTCTAGCTGGTGAGTTTGTAGGTACACGCTACCACATGTCCCTGCTACAGGTTACACTTTGTATTTCTTTCAACCTGTCCTACAATTAGCAGGAACAGCCTTCTGTAACTCCGAGAGGTCTGTTCCTCCCCACCCCAGGAAAAAAAAAACCTGGTGGCCGTAGTTTTGAAGGAGCCCAGCAGGGATCTGCTCTTGGATATTGTTTCATCAGGCACGCACACACAGACTCTGACATCCCATCCCCACTAGCGTGTTCTCACTAGCTTGAGACACAGGAAAACAAACCCAAAGAATAGATCTCATACACTGATGTGATATTAGAACTTTTCTTTTCTTTTATTACAAAACATGTTAAGAGAACATTGAACAAGTTACATACAACATCACTTTATCTTTAGTGGGCTTTGTGCCCTTTTATCATACTGTCCATGTGGTAGAAATGGCATATAACTTGCAGAATGCTTAGTCTTAGTATTGCACCATTGATGCACAAATTTAGTTGCTAGTCAAAATATTTGACCACTAACTTGATAATCACATTCCAATACTCAAAAAGTACATCTAAGTGTACCAGCAAGCCAGAGACATCTTGGAAACTCAAAAACTTCTAACAAACCTGAGGATGGAATGGGTTGATCTTGTCTAACTCTTTGCTGTGACTTCCTAAGCCTGTAAGGAAAATGCCAAATTACGCTATCAGCTTGTTAAATTTATCCTGCTTTTTTTCCTGGGAAAGATGTCATGTTGGGAGGGCGTGAGTGATGAGGGAAAAGACTTTATTCTCAGTGTAATAAAAACTAGATTCCATGAAATGAACCAAAAGGAGGATTTAGCTTCATGAGTGAAGTTTGTCTACTTTGAGCTCTGTGACAAAACACTCCCATCTTGTTTTTTGTAGGCTCCTTATGTGGATGTAATTTGTGTAAATAGCTACTTCTCCTGGTATCATGACCCAGGCCACCTGGAAGTTATTCCACTACAACTCACAACACAGTTTGAGAACTGGTATAAAACCTACAACAAACCCATTATCCAGAGCGAATATGGAGCAGACTCAGTTCCTGGACTTCACAGTGTAAGTATTATAGACACCCTAGATGAAAAAAAAAAAAAAGCGCTGCTCTTCTTTATAGCATCAGAAAAACTTAATTAGAAGAGATGAGTACCATTGAGCCTGACTACTTAGTTTTGAGATGCATTAACTTGTAAGTGTCTGAAAGACTCCAGGATTGTAATCCTCCTCCACTGAAATCAGTGAGCTTTGCCACTGACTAACAGGTTAGATTCCACCTAAAGAGGAGTTTTTAGCTTGGAGTAAAAGCACTGAGCACTTGGAAATCTGTACTTTGGCATTTGTAGAAAATACTTCATCGGAAGATATGACACTGGAGATTGGACATTCATTTCATGATGCTATCCTGCACAGAAGGGGGTGGCACTCCTATACCTATTGTAATAAAGCACCATTACCAAGCAAAACTGCAGGCTC